TGGTGCCCCTCATGCCTGACCCCCAGCCCCCCACCCCTGCCTGGCCCCTTACACCTGACAAACAGCCCCCTGCCCCACCCTGCCCTGTCAGTGTTCCTTACTCCCAACCCACAGGCCCCTGCCCCCCCAGCCCTGCTCCCCACGCAGCTTGCATGCATGCGTGCACACACACACTCTTTGTCTCCGTATCTCTTACTTGTAAGCAGCTGCCAGGGCCTCCACACAGAGCACATGATCCTCTGACAGCCAGTCACCTTGCCCTGCTGGTCCCAGCCCCAAGCAGCAAAGTTGGAAGTGCTGGGGAAAAGCAGAGGCAGAGGAAAAACCCAGGCATTTGCTTGCATTTTAAAAACCTGCCCCCCGTGACAAGAGGACATGGGGCCAAAAAAGAGGACATGTCCAGGAAAACCATACCTGGATGTATGGTAACCCTGGAGAAAACTGTGTTAGGGCAAGAGCCAATTTGTAACAAGTAGAGTTCTGCAATGATAAGACTGAGAGTCAGTGTGTTCCAAACAGCTTGTTGTTATCAGAAGAAGAACCTCCATACAGAGGTGCAGGAGCCTGTCTTTTCACAAATGCACTGAGGGCACATTACACTATGCAGAGAACAGATAATGAGTAGGCGGGAGGAGATAATCCTTCCAATGATCATTTTGTCAAATTTAATATGTAATTATGGAAAAATCTCACAGTGTTACCAGGATGTCTGATCTTTTGTTTTTTGGGAAAAAGTGATCAAAATAATGATAAATTGTACTTTGAGTTTTCACCCCACCTCTAATGTTCCCTCAAACCAAGAACACGTTGAGATATACTAGTGATTAGTCATATGGTGGTAAACCAAACAATTCTGGTTTAAAGTCCTCCATAGATTTCAGAACCACAGTTGCTTCTTTTGTAAGGTCTTGATTCAAATTTTCATCTGGGATCATAACTACTTGCATCCTGGCTGTTAATGCTGCTTTGACTCCGAGGGGAGAATCTTCAAACACAAGACACTGAAAAATGAAAAAAAAAATCATTAAAATATAGTAATAACCACTTATAATAAAATATGGTGACCTAGAATAAGACTCAAGAGATCTGGATTCATTTCCCAACTGTGCTACAGTCCCCCAGTACAACCCTGAGCTAGTCAATTAAGTAAACAATGTGCAAAGTATTTAAAGACTGACTTAAGACCTACTCAACATAACAATGAAGCCCTATCACCAGCTTATGAAAATACTTGTTAGCTGCTCTTCTGATTAGGAATTCACTTAAACATGTGCTTAAATGCTTTATTGACACAGCACCTGAATTCATCTTGACCTTTTTCACCTTGTAAAAGCTTGTAAAAATGTATTTGCAAAAAAGACTTGAAGTGGCTAGAAATTATGGTGCTTGAGTCAGTATCAGGATTTGCAGTGAATGTGCAAAGTAGAATATTTCAGAACATATGAACAGTGCTGCAAATCAGCATGCCATTTTCCCTAATCTCCTCCAATGTAATTTTGATGCACAATATTTCAGAGGGAAAAAAATAATAATTGTATCGAAGAGCACTACTGTAGTGTTACTATTACAGATTAGACAGTTTTGTCATTAAAAACACCAAGTGCTACACAGCCATAAATATTTTATCTGTTTAGTAATGTATCATTCAAGTCTCAGCTTGACAGTGAGTTTTGGAAACAATTCATGTATTATTTATATGGAAGTTATTGTTTAACATTAGGAAACATAAGAAGAAAAACGAGCATTTTAAGAGTTAAATGACTACAACACTTGGTGTAAAAATCCAGTACCTTTTTTAAACTACTTTGACTGACCATCTCATTAGCATGGACATTTAAAATTAATGTAAGCTCTTTTGATCTATGATTATCAGTTTAAATATCAAATTTATTAACAGAAGTAAGTTGTTAAAACCTAGGATGTTATATTTCAAACTTTTATTTAAAAGGTATTTTCCTCAATGAAGAACCTGAATCCATACATACCAAATGTATATAGTTATCATTGTGTTCAAATTAGCAGTACATATAGTGCATAAACAATAGTAGTATGTTAGAACTTGTAACATTAAACATAAATATAGTAAAAGAGGCACCAACAAAGAAGTTAAAGTTATTACAGAATTCAAGGCAATAATATGGTTTAAAAACAAACAAACAAATACTAATAAAATGATTCTACATGAACTATAAATTAAAATTCTTGTTCTTTCAACATCTATTCACAAGTATAAACATGTATATTTGTGACTAAATGTGTTAGGGAACTAATATCTCTGTATATGTTGCAGCTTTCCAAAATGCCTGCTTTCCTTTTTTAAAAGATGATGAAAAAAAAAAGGCTTTAAAACAAGCTTCTGGTCATGACACAAACTGATCAAAGGTGGGAAAAGTAAGTAGAAAAGGTGAGCATTTAATTCAGGATTTTCCACAAATAGATGGTTTCAAGATAAAATATTTGCCTCACCTTAAAATTTACCTGGTGCCTGTTGTCTTGTGTGACCCCTTAGACCTAATTTGAATATTTTTTATTCAAATCTAAACAACACTTTTGCTTTTTTGTTTTTTTGCATATTTTGTTTTTAATCTCTGCTTGATGTTGGCTGGGAAAGATAGTTGAATGTGACATGTGAACAGTCCCAGCAATGATTCCCATTCTTTATAATTAGCACTTGTGCTTAAAAGAAGAGTGTCCCCTTGCGTTTGATGATTAGAACCTAATTAATCTTCTTGCTAGATTCTCACCGAATCTGTTTCTAGCACATTGTATAGAAAGTACATTTGGAATCACTTGCTTAGGTTATGCTATGACCAACAGGGTCTGATCATACATTACGGAAATCAATAAAAAATGTTGCTATTGACATCAGTGAATGCCAGGTTCATTCCACAATGCAGAAAAAGAGCCAGTCAGAATGTAAACTGGTTTTCAGTGGGTGTGTCTACAGGTGCAATTAATGTGAAGCAATACACTCTGGAGCAATAAACTCCAGTTTACTGTCATTTGAACATGCGCACAGGAGTGCAGCTTGTTGAGCCAGGTCTCCCCAGCTCAACTTGCTGCAGAGAGGTTGGCTGAGGCATGATGGTGTTTCACTACCGAGCTAGTCAGCAGGCAACCCCCTCACTGAAACATCCCTCATGCCTAAACCAGTTGGGGCAGTGTCTACATGTGCACTGCTGTGGAGTAAATTAGTTTACTCTAGCCTAATGGGGATGCACATGTAGGCACCAAGATGTTTACCACACAGTTAATTAATTAGTTTACTGTGCAGTAAACGTCTAATTTAGACGCACACAGTGTAATTTAGAAAAAGTGTTCTATTCACCTACTGGAAAACTTAATTCCACAAAGGATCTGACTCTAACTAATATGTATAACTGAAACAACTGCGTTGTGTTCTCTTCAAAAAATAAATACAGTGTTTGTCCAAATCCCCAGCTGAATAGAGCTGAGCTTTGATAAAGTACAATAAGTAAGCATTCATCCTACTGCCATACTTACATAAGTAAGCATTCAGCCTAATGCTAAGAAAGGATTGTTAAATTATTTGTCCTAATAAGAACAAATTGCTGTTTTTCACAGAGGTACTTAGCCCACTTAGATTAACAAGGAAATATACTGCTTGAGTTGAAACTGTCACTGTAGTTTCCCTGGGTCTTGTGAGTTCCCTTCAGTTCACTCTTGTAGTTTTTGGCCCATATAAAAAAAGTTTTCTGTTTCTTACAAATTGTAGACAAGTGGTATTCAAAAATCATCAGCTACTTCATATCTTATCAGATGTGCTTCGTGTCAAACATTGTGTGTATGTGTGTGTATTTACAGGAACGTTAATGTTTTGGATATCTGTGCTCGATTTAAAAAACATCAAACAATATTGTATCAAAGCATGGATGCATTTCAATAAGTTAAATGCTGAGCACAGAAGATATCTAGATATCTTCAACATTGTACTTGTGATGCTCCGCGGAACATGCAAGAAAAAAAAGATGTTTGCTAATATATATTTTTAGACTATATGCTTCAGAGAGATGTTAGAAACATTTTCAGGCACAACATACTCTTCCTTACGTCACTTCCTCAGGTTCTCACCTTTTCCAGCTATAAAATTGTTCTAATAAAAGATATTACAAAGCAAATCTTTCTTCTGCATGTCAATTAGAGATATAACAAAGTATATTAAAGCCACTGATACCCAGTCACACAACATAAAATAATAAACTGTACTAGTGAATGCCCCTGTTCACTGTTCAGATTGAATTCTGCTAACTTTGGTTTGTTTTATATTTCAACTCAATACTTTGTTGATAAAATCCTGAAATTGATGGTAAAACATCCATTGATTTCAATCGAGTTGTGATTTCAGCCTATACTTCTAATCAAACGTATTAGAAATCAATACAGTTAACAATATTTGAAAGCTTTAGAAAACCATTATATATATATATATATATTCTAGTACCCTATTCAATTTTGTTTAATTAGGTTTACATAGTGTCCTTGCATGCGTCTATGCTGCTACTTCTGAGAAATGTAGAACACTTGAATGTTATAAGCCCTATAATTTAGGTGATGAATGAAAATAAGTATATTGCAGCCAGTTATACATACTCTTTTTACTTTCCCCATGGATTAATTTCTTAAAGCCACCTCAAGGATACAAGAACTGACAATGTAAGAGTGTACATACTGGCAATCAGGACTATGATAGAATTTTTCTTACAGACTTTGCAACTTAAGAATCAAGTTATTTTCTTTACTGATTTTAAATGGTCTCCTTGGTGATTAATGATGTATATGCTAAATTCTTGGAGAAGGAGAAATGAAAAATAGAAGCAGGGCTTAAAGAGACCTCAGAAGGTCATCTTGTCCAAGCTCCTGATCAAGCCATCCCTGTTTAAACCATCCCATATGAATGCACATCTAACCTATTCCTAAATTTGCACAATAACAAGGCACATTGTCCAAAACTACCAACAAACCCTAACTTGAGACAGGTAAAGCAGGTGGACAAGGGTATTGTCAATGTCCCACTGTTGCAAGGTAGTTAAAATGCACTTGAGAGATCCAAGGAAGAGGACCATGCTCCTGACTACAAAGGACAGCAAAAACACTCACAAATCCATGCCAATCTGACCATGGAGAATATGGGCAACTCGTGCCACCTTAGTCAGGGGGGATATGTACCCCCCCAGTGACCAGAGGGGGTTCCCCCGGAGGCCAATCTTGCCGACTGGGGGGGGGGGGCCCCCCCCGGGCCGATCGCGCCAACTGGGAAGCAGCTGCAGTGCTCCTGGAAGTGCCCTCTGTGCTTTGTCTGGCGCTTCCACTCCCCGGCCAGTGGTTGCCAGGTGGGCACCAGCACTCCCACCTGCCCCCCTGCCCATTGCCTAAGCAAGGAGCACGGCCTGTCAGGGGGTGCACCAGTGCTCTCAGGGGGTGCACATGCACCCCTGTGTACCCCTTACACGTCACCACTGATGGAGAGTAATATTCTTTCCTGATCCCAAATGTGAAATTGGTCTCATTGTGAGTGAAGGGGCAAGACCCTATAACCAGGAATCTTTAGGTTTCTTTTAGTCCCAGCAGAAAGACACCCCAGTCAAAATTCCCAGCCTTGGCTTCAGCCAACATCTAATGCTTGAGGAAGGAAAAAATCAAAACAAAACAAAACAACCTCCTTCCCAAAAACAAACACACACAAAACCCAATACCTGTAGTAACAAGAAAGGGAAAAGTTCCTTCTGCACTTCTTGTGGTAACCAGGAAAGTCCAGAAGCATGGGAAAAAACAACCAACCCCCTCCACTCTGACTTCATACTGAATAAATACTCAGAATATGAACTTCCGAAAGGGAGAATTGCAATTCTGAAGGACAGTGGAAACAAAGTATAGCTTGCAAAGGAAGAGGCTTTTTGAAGGGGTGCGAGGGAGGAGGTAAAAGACTAGGAAGATGCTAGGCAAAATGCTTTTAAAAGCTTTAAATGAAAATGCAGTAAAG